ATTTGTGCTGGATTATAAGATCTCAGATTTTAAACAGCGATTACGTAACTGATTTTGGTGGTCATGCTAGGGGGGTTTTGTAATAGAGCATTGTTTTTTTTAATATTATATTTATTTATTATTAATATTAGCATTTATCATTTATTGTATTATTGATCTCAATTGTCGACGCTTCGAAGTTCATATTTCACGACCTTTGCTTGATTTCGGTTTAGATTTTTGTTTAAATGTTTATACGGTAATACGATTTCGAGTTAATAAAATTATATCTTCTGTATTAAATTTTGTTTCAGAAGCTATAAATATATTAGAATTCGCTAAAGTAAAATCAGAAATGGAATTATTTTGATTCGTAATATTAAATTTGTCACCATCGAATATGTCATTATTACGGTTGGTATTCTTTGCCAATGTTTAGAACAGTATTTACACTGAATAAAGTAGTATTTTTTCATTAACAATAAAGGCATCCCATATTTCTCGAGGCCAGCCATCAGAATTAGGCTTTTTATTAACTGAAGGAGAAACGGAACAATCGCAAATAGCACTTCATTAATGTTAGACATATTGAAATAAATAAAGAATCTGTTTAGCGCTAGATTTTTTGATAATAGCGATCAGTTTTAACTGCGATATAAGTTATTTAAAAACCCAAAACATAATGATAAAACGTTTAGTCGGCATAATAATTCTTAAGAACACTTAATACTGTATATAAATTTAATATTTGGTCTAATTGCTAACGCTAAAATAAATTATGTGAGTGCACAGGTTATTATCTATAAAATAAACTATATATATTTATTGATGCACCAGATCTCGATCACTTACATAATTTCCTACGATCATCACGAAAGACATTCGCTTTACCTCATTGTTATCCTTCACTTCAACAACTCCGATCTCTTATTCCTTGCTCATGTAGAGATTCTTCATCGCTCAACAGTTCTCGAACCAAATGCAAGAACTGTTCCGGAATTACGGGACAATTAGAAAAAAATTTCATTAGGATGAGTTGTCATATGGATTAATTATGGTTTGAAATTTTGCTCAGACTCGTGTCACAATTGGCTTTTATATGCTTTTATATGAAACTGCTTTTATCATCTGTCAGCACATCTTTAATATGACCATATGATTAAACATAATGACGAGAATTACCACAACATATTTTATGCATTTTTTCTAATCGGGGAAAATCCATACACTTGAATTTTGATTGGTTACACTGATTGATAATAATTCTATCTGCATCTCATTTAAACATTTTCCCATAGTTCTTTGAATACCAAAGGACTTGTATAATAAACTGGCCACTTCCAAGGGATCGTCTTCTCCCGTAACTCATACGATCCAAAAAGAAGAAACCCGTTTTAGAACACGCTTTATTATTTTTTCTATTGTTGTTGCTGTTATAGCATATTTTTTGTCTCGATATCCATTTTTTAAAATGGCTGATACAGGAAAGCGTCAAGTTTTGCCTACTAATGTTAGACCAACCCACTACGACTTGACTTTAACTCCAGATCTTAAGTCCTTTACCTTTGAGGGGACTGAGACTGTCAAGTATGTAAATTTTAACTATTGTATCAGTATTGGGAATATTATGCGCTTGCGCATTAGATAATATTTATGTAACTTGTATTTCAATAGTCTCGATGTTAATCAAAATACAAAAACTATAACCCTTAACGTAAATGACATTCAAGTCAAGTCTGCAAGACTGTCAAACTTGTCTTTGAAGACTAATCAAAGGTATTTAATATTATTTAATAAATTTACCTAATAAATTTATTTAATATATGGGCTGAATTAATAGAAAAAGACAAAATTTTTTATAAAAAAAAATCTTTTTTTTAAACCTTTGAAAAAAAAAAGAATTTGTTTAGTTTTACTGACTTATTCTCGTATTTGTTATTATATTCATATGTTTAACGTAATTTGCAAATGGTTTTTGTAATACAGCCAGAATTCTATAGATATTTCTCACGATACTCAAAAGCAGACTGTTACTTTGACTTTTCCCGAGGAACTTCCTGTCGGAGCTAAAGCATCTTTGCATCTTGAATTTACCGGTATATTAAATGATAAAATGGTTGGTTTTTATCGAAGTTCTTATCAAGACGAGGCTGGAAATACAAAGTATATATTCCTAAATATTTTAGAATCTGAAAAATATATACATTCATATTTGACTATAAAAATATTTCTATTAATCTTTATTTAGATATTTAGCTACGACTCAATTTGAAGCAACTGATGCACGCCGTGCTTTTCCTTCATGGGATGAGCCTGCAATTAAGGCTACCTTCGACATCACTTTAATTGTTCCGTCTGAGTTGACTGCTTTGAGTAATATGAACGTGATCTCTGAGACTCCACTTGAAGATGGCAAAAAATGTGTCAAGTTTGCAAAAACTCCAATTATGAGTACTTATGTATGTTTTAAAATTTTCTTGATAAAAATTATTTAGAATACTAACTCAACCAATTCGGTATCAGTTGGTCGCATTTATCGTTGGTGATTTGGCTTATGTTGAGACTTCTACTACCGGTATTCACAACGGTGGAAAGCCTGTTTTGATTCGTGTTTACGCGACAAGAGGCAGCGAACACCTTGGTCAATTGGCTTTGAATGTTGCTGCGGATGTTTTGGAATACTTTGCTCAAGGTACTGGTAATTTTAGTTTTGTTTTATCTATATCTCTTATTTAACACATTTATTATATATTATTTACAGTCTTTGATATTCCATATCCACTGCCAAAGTGTGATATGGTTGCTATTCCGGACTTTGAGGCTGGTAAGTTATCTTATCCGATTTGTAATATGAGATTCTATCTTTATATTAAGATGTATTTACGCTCTTTTAATCTAGGTGCCATGGAAAATTGGGGTCTTATTACTTATAGAACTGCTGCTATATTATTTGATCCTAAAGCATCTGATGCTAAGTTCAAACAACGTATTGCATACACTGTTTCTCATGAGTTAGCTCACCAGGTAAATATTTTTTTTTAACTAAATTATATTGTAAATTATCTTTATTAATTTAAGAATTGAATAATTACGATGAAAGTGGTTTGGTAATCTCGTGACTATGGAATGGTAATTAATAATTCTATATCTGTAAGTGGTTATTGTTTTTTTTTGGTGAGTATTTTATTAAATGAATACATTTGAAACCCAGGTGGGATCACCTTTGGCTTAACGAAGGCTTTGCTACTTGGGTTGGATACCTTGCTGTGGACAAGATCTTTCCTGATTGGGATATCTGGACTCAGTGAGTTTCAATGTTGTTATTAATTTGATTATTATTTTTTTTTTTTGTTAAATTGTCAATAAATAAATAAACGCTATTTTAATAGGTTTGTTACGGAAGGTTTTCAACGAGGACTTCAACTTGATGCCTTAAGATCATCTCATCCTATCGAAGTTCCCGTGAATGATCCAAGGTATATACATATATATTTTTATATTTATTATATTTATTATTTATTGACATAATACTTAATCGTCTATAAAATATGTTATTTTGTGCTAATAGTGAAATCCATCAGATTTTTGACGCCATAAGTTACTACAAAGGTGCTTCCGTCATACGCATGTTGAGTAACTTCATAGGAGAAAATGTTTTCTTAGCCGGTGTTAGGCGTTATTTGAAACGTCACGAATATAGTAATGCTAGTACTGATGATTTATGGAAAGCATTAACTGAAGAAAGTGGAATGGATGTCGGCCAGTTCATGACGGTTTGGACTAGAGTTGTTGGTGTATGTATATTTAGTATATTTAAAATCTTAAAATTTATGGCCTTTGATATACTGAGTTATTAATATTTAATATAATCATATAGTATCCAGTTTTAACTGTTACTGAACCTTCTCCTGATACGTTACAAATTTGTCAATCCCGTTTCCTTTCAACTGGGAAACTCAGTTCTAATGAAGATACTACACATTGGTGGGTGCCACTTGGCATAAGCCTTGGATCTTCATCATCCAATAATGAACTTAAATCTAAAGTCCTTACTACAAAAGAGATTGATTTAAAATTGCCGGCTGGTGCATTTGAATTTTATAAACTTAATTCTTATGTAACTGGCGTTTTTCGTGTAAATTATACCCCAGACCGATTGGCAAAATTGGGTCAAGCTGCCAAGAAAGGTTTACTTGATACTAGTGATCGAGTTGGGTTAGTTGCTGATGCTGGTGCTTTGGCGGTAAGTGATTATGCAAAAACGAGCGGCTTTTTAAGCCTCATTAATGAATTTGACAACGAAGATAAATACATGTGAGTCAACAAATTATTTTATAAAAATTTTATTTTCAAATATCATTATACATGTTTATCAATTTTTTTATTTTAACATAGCGTATGGTTGGAGATTAATTCTCGTATTACGGATCTCATAAGTGTGTGGTTTGAACAACCTGAGCCTATATACCAAGGACTTTTAGCTTTTCAACGTCATTTAGTTTCTAAATTGGTTTCCAAATTGGGTTGGGAATATCCTGAAAACGAAGACTACTTAATCACTATGATGAGGACTTTAGTAATTAAAGTTGCTGGCAGAGCTAAAAATCCCGAGTAAGTTTATCGGTTTTACTTTTTTACAATTCATATTTATTACTAATATCTATTACTAATATTTGTTACGAATAAATATCTCATTTCATTTTCTATTGTTTTAGAGTTATTAAGGAAGCATTTCGTAGGTTTGAATTGTTTACAAAAAACAATGACAAATCGGCTTTACATCCTAATATTCGTGGAGCTGTATACGAAATTGTGCTTTGTAATGGTGGAGGAGTAAATGAATTTGATGCAATTTTGAAAGCCTATCGCGAAGCAAATACTTCAGATCAGAAAGTTGTTGCTTTAACTGGTATCGGATTCGCTCAACAAGATGATTTGATTAGACGTGCGTTAGAATTTTCCATATCGAGTGAGGTTAAGAATCAGGACATTATTTATGCATTCCAAGGGTGAATATTTTGTTCTTGTATATTTAATATTCAAATTGTTGCTCATAATTTATTCATGATTTATTCATAATACGTGACTATGTTTACAGCCTGCAATTCAATCGTAAATCGCGAAGGGCATTATGGAATTTTGTTAAGGAAAAATGGGAAACTGTAAGTTTTTTATATCAACCCTTTTACCTTTAATCTATATACGTTTACATATTAATATTTTGCCTGAATTACAGTTTCAAGACAGATATGCCAAATCTCTTGGTCTGTTTGGACATATAATTAAATTTAGTACCGATTCCTTTTCATCTGATGCAGATATTAAAGATATTGAAGATTTCTTTTCTAACAAAGAAACTAAAGACTTTTTAAGACCTTTACAACAAAGTCTAGAAAACATTCGTGTCAATGCCGCTTGGTTAGCACGTGATAAAAAGGATGTTGAGGATTGGTTGAGAGCTAATGGGTACTTGCAATGACCAAAATACTGTATAAACGATTATTTATGTGTTAATATTATAAAAAGGCAGTTTATTTAGATAAAAATTTTTTCTGCAATCATTTAAATAAATTAATAGTGTGGATGTGTTGTTAAAAAATTTTGTTGAACGTGACCTTTATTTTTGCATAAATAAAAATATAATTACAAGATAATGAATGCAAGATGGTTTTTGCTATCTGAAAGGATAATTTATAATAATAAAATTACAAGTGATATGATTCTTAAATACCCTAAATAAAATATTACATTTTTAAATTATAATACAAATAATAAACGTTTGAAACTACCATCGCTCCATTAAGTTGCCTTATTACAACTTGCACAAACCAATTTAGGTGAACCATCTTTGACAAAAGCCTTAAAATCCGTTGACCCACAGGAACATTGAAACTGTTTTTCATTATCACCACCATTAATTGAAACATCTGCACTTAAATTACTTGATACGGAGTAGATACTCGATGCATCACTTTTTCTTCTTCTTCCACCAAGCCCAGATTCTTGACCTTTTTGTTTTTTTGCAAAGAAATTATTTAAATTAGAACCAAGTGATGAGTTCCAAGACCTTTATTAAAAAGAAACGAAAAGTTGAATGAGATTATTAAATTTAAAGATATATGTGGGATCTTTGTAAGTGAAATAATAGCCTTATTGAACAAAGATCATACTAAATGAATGAATTTTTTAATTTCCTGAATTCATTTACCTTGTGCTTCTAAAAGAAATCGAATCAGAATCGTGAGAAGGATAATAAGCACAATCTTGTCTAAAAATTTTTATACTTCCAGTATAATCAGCACAAACAATTATATTGCCTTCAGGATAGGTTTGAGTAGCTGAAGTTTCGTTATTAACAGTATGTGTAAAGATCGGGTCACCACAAAGACTAATTAACTGCTTTGTACGGGTAGGTGCAAATATGGCGACTGTTACTATAGCAGTATGTGCTGTATTAAGGAATAATAAGATTTAGTATTAATTCTTTATGCAAAATGAGTATATTATTATAATACATACATTCAAAACTTTCATAACCACACTTTTCTTTTTTTAACCAGCTACTACCACCTCCATGATGTGAATTTATACGAGATTGATCTGTGTTAAATATATATACATGTCTGTCTTCAGAACCACTTACAATATAACGGCCGTCATCGCTGTGTAATAATCAAATTTTTAACAAACTTGGAAGCTTTAAACAATCGATTACGTATAATATTCACCTAAACGTAGCGCGGATTTGACTACAAGTGTTTTCAAGTCCTTTATATTTGTATTCCAAAGACTTATCACGCATATTATATAATCTAATCCTTGAATCATTAGAGCTTATCAATAACTAATTGACAAGAAATTTAGTTAAAAAAATGTCTTAAATTATTAATAATAAAAAATGGCTTATAATTACTCACTTTGTCTTGACCAGGAAGAGTTCCTGGCATAGACTCAATCCCTGTTATTTTTTTACCCTGTGAATTTCTTCCACGTGCACTTCTCACGTGAATCTGTGTATTATATTTCAACCCATCCGTTTCATAAAAAAGACATAGTCCAGATAAACTTCCTGCTACGGCCATTTTACCGTCAAGAGTAAAGCCAACGGCAGTAATTAATTGAGAGTCAGTAAGCTCATTCCAATAAGCAACTTTCTTCTCGGGTATATTCCAAAGACGTAATCTACAATCCAATGATCCCGAAAGGAAAAATCGATCATCCTAAATTGTATAAATACGATTAATGATTACACCATATATACAAAATCGAATGAATGACTTTATTATATAGACCTTTGGATGAAACTCAATGGCTGTAACAAAGTCAGTATGTTGAAAGCAGCACAGGCATTCTTTACGAGTCATGTGCCATAATCTGTAGTTAAATATGATGCCATCAGGTTATTAGCAAAAAAAAAAACTTCAAATAACTAGGCAAGGAGTGATACTAAATTAGAAGTATTACCTCACAGTCTTGTCCATTGACGAAGAAAGTAAGAAGTTATTCTAAATAAAAATTAATTTGATATATTATTAATCATAAAATAATGTGATGGTAGAAAATTACATAAGTGGGTAGCTGACTAACCTTACTCCAACTCAGGTCCAATACATCAGCCGTATGTCCACGATATTCATATAATGGTTTGTCGCGAAAAACAGGAGCACCTAGTTTTGCACCACTGATACCTTCATATACGCTAGTCCCACATCCTTCAAGGAAATGCTCTCGTTCCTCATCACTTGAAATGACAGCCCACACTCGAACAACTGTATCTTGACCACCTGTTGCCAAGAATTTTCCATCCTTGCTAAATTTCATACACCAAATAGCTCCAGGCTTAATATTAGTCAAATCGGAATCGGCATCTTCACTAGAAATTGGATTATATAATTCTTGGGCAAGAAAAAGACGATCAAATTCTTTAATTGGTTTGTTTCGTGCTCGAGTCTATTTAAAAGGAAAAGAAAAATTTAGTATATAAACGAAAAAAGCTAATATATTATTTACATAATATTACTTTTATGTATCGAGGTTGAGCACGCCCAAAACCATCAGTATTTTCGGAAAATACTGGAGCGGTATTCCCAGTAACACCATCATCATCACCACCTTCATCATTATTTTTATCATTATTTTTAGAACTATAAGACGTTCGTTTTAAGCGGCTTAAAAATGATTTTCGTCTGAAGCAATAAAAAATAAATTATTAGGTACTAGATAACGATTTTGTTGATATAGAATATTATAACGGACAACTTAACATTTTACATACCTGTTAGGTTTGTCATCAGTAGAATTAATATCTTCATCGCTCAGGCTTCTTGTATGAGTTTCATCCCCAATATGGTTTAATTCTGTATCTGAGCCCGTCCGTTGCATTATATGATAAGTTAATGGATCAATATTTCCATTTGATTTTTTAATTTCTTCTTCAAGATCTGACGCTGGTATATTTTTGCCAGTATCTAAATCTTTAACGTAAACTGTGACTTCAACAGGTTCCTCTTCATTATCTGTTGCCACATCGCTATCAACTAAATTAAAATTTTATGTATATAGCAGATAGTAAATATAGGTCAAAATTGATGGATAGAAAAGAATTGTAAATTATTTACTTTCAGGCAGAGTCATGAACCCATTTTCAGTATGATCCTTTGATAGCTCATTATCTCCTTCAAAAGACATGTCTGTCACAGAGATCTGCGGAATGGCTATGGCTGGTGGTTTACTCGGTTCCGGTTGAACACTATCATTCTTAGAATTGTTCGACTCTAATTTATTATCATTATTATCCGAAGAAACTATAGTAGTCGAGGTTGGTTGCTTATTATCGAGTGATTCTTCAGCATCAACAAAAACTTCGGTGTCGCTTTCGTTGTCAGAACGATTATAAGACATTATTTTAGTTTTAAGAAGATATTGTACAGTATATTGTTTGAGAATAAACCGTTAAAAAACCTAGCACTATATTATATAGTAATTCGACAATCGACAAAAGAACCAATATAAATTTGGTTACTGAGAAAAGCTTTCATGACAAATTACGTATTTTCATAATCATAATTTAAAAAAAAAAAAAAAAAGACAATCTCATTGACGATGAGCCCAATCCGGAAAACTGGCGACGAGGATTGTACCATTATTTGTTTTTAAAGACACAAATTACAAATTTAGCGGTTAGCAAAACCTTTGTCGGCAATATATATTATAAATTTGGAAAGAGTATAATTTATTTATGCATTGTCTGAAAGTTAATTTATCAAAGTATATCGTTAAGTTTAGTAATTTGAATTGGACTCATAAATTTAATTAGAACGTGTCAATGTCTCAGTTGTTAAACACGTATAAAAAAATTTTTTTTTGAAAAAAAAAGTCACCGGAGATATAATTCATCAGGTATGCTATTTTCAAGAACGGCTTCGGTAATTACTAAGTAAAAACGTTTAACGCCCTAAAAAACCCTAATCTTTAACTTTTATTTGGATCCTAAGTGAATAGTACTGTAGTACCGGGTACTATTCACGAATCCAGCGATTTCATTGGTGGAGAAGGAGGGTACTTTATGTGGTAGCTAAACGGTATATAAATAAAAATTATATAGGTTAATTTATATACAGTATATATATATATTATATATACGTACAAATTGCGAATTACACGAATTACACGTATATATATACTGTATATATACAATGTTTTTTCATAATAAAATATAAAATAAGGGCTCCTCTACCCTTTTAGATTAGGCCCGGATAAGGATTACCCGGGTGACTCTTAACCGATAGCAATTTTGCTAACCGGGTTAACCAAAATTTCAGCACGGCTTTAGCGGTTTGGTTGGCTACAGGTCACGTTGTCGGCTAATTTCTGTTAATCTGATTGGCTGAGTTATGTAAAAAATCAAGTTACTAGTCATTTGAAATAACCAGATTATTACTTAGTTATTCGAAGAAATTTTTAATCTATATCCTTTTTTAAAACTAATAGTAACGATTAAATTAGTTTATATAGAATTCAGAAATATATATATACTGTAGTATACTGTATTATATACTGTATTTAAATATATAAAGCTAATTTATTTTTTGCAGATTTATGCAAATTTGCAAAATTTTTATTATATAAAAAATTAGCAAATTTGTACAAATTTTTAAACCTGTGCTATTTTTACAAAAAAAATACTTTATACAAAAAAAAATTTTTGCAAATTTGTATTGAAATTTTTTTTTTTTAATACTCTTAATTATAGTAAAAACTAATTTTATTAAGCAAATACTTTTAGTAGAGTGTAGTAAGTAGGTTGTCACTTCTCAAGCTTCTTGTAACTAAAAATACAGAGCTTGAATTCTACTAGTAATGTTTTGGATAAATATTTTGTGTTTTAGTAACTGATTTTTATTAATTAGTTAGGTTTTAGAGTTTGTAACTCTGGTTAGACTAGTGTATTTTGTATATTAGAAGATTTTAGAAGTATTTGTATAATAGAGTTATACAAAAAAATGCAAACTGGTTTAAACAATACAAACTTATGATAAACTTTCTAAAAACCAAAAAAGAATTAAAAGATTAAGAACTAGCTTAAGAAGTTTTAAATAAAAAGGTAATACAGATCTTTAATAGTAATATGAAAAAACCTTGAACTAAAAACAGATACTTAAACCAAAAATAAAAGCTCAAAGTACTCTTATAAAAAAAAAAAAATTATTAACTAAATTACCAAAATATATATATATATGCTATAGAAGTATATATAGTCAGACCCTCTAAATGCACACTTCCTAAATGCAGCACCTCTCTAAATATACATCTTTTTTGGGGCCCAACTAATATTACATCTATAGATTTTTACCTCCCTAAATGCAATACCTCTCTAAATGCATGTGCTAGAGCCAGTCCCGAAGATATGCATTTAGAGAGGTTTGACTGTATTAGAGTTGGGGTGACTATAAACTAAAGATTTGACAAATTTAACTTTTTAGACTATTAGATTAAAAGTTTCAAAAGCTAGAATGAGAAGTTTATAAGTTAGAAAAAGAGAAGTATACAAGTACCAAGATTTGAATAAACTTTGCAAAAGCAAAAGTAAGTAACTATAAAGATAATTTTAGCTTTACTTATTTGTGCTAATAATACAAACCTCTAAAAAAATAACCAATTAGAGAACACAAATTTTAGGTATTCTAAATTAGCCTAATATAGAACCCAGATCAATTTAATAAAACAAAAAATAAGAAAAATAAATAAAATACAAGAAATAGTAGCCTAAAACTTTTGTATATTAATAAAATAATTTTATTTATAGTACTTTTTAACTCTAATCTAGATTCTAACTCTAACTCTAATATTTAATAAATTTCAAATTTACTTTTGGTTTGTATTACTGGCACAAATAAGTAATTTCCAAGTCAAACTATAATACAAATTACTAAAGTATAGATAATATACTATATATGTAAAATATGAAATACTTTGCCAGGTTTACTACAGGGATAAATATCTTTCTAGAAATAGATATTAGTGGCTAAACCTTAGGGTTTTATTTGGTAAATTACTTTGTAAAAAGGGTATATTAGAAGAAAACATGTAACAGAGATTAAAGTCAGAGAGTTTAAATAGATAGCTTCCTAGTTAGACTATAGATATATAGTAGCAGCTAGTGTAGAATCCTAAAGCAAAACTACTTAAATTAAACAACCAAAAGTTGTATATATGACTAATTGTACTCTCATGATATTAATATAACATGTTACTGGTCTTCTTGACTAGGCTAAACCACTTGTACTAATAAAATGCCAGAGGTCTAAATAGTTACCTTAACATAAAAAAAAATTCAAATACTTTTAATATTATTGTTACATGTCAACCCTAAAACAAAAATTTAAATTAAATTTACATGCAAAATTAACTACAAATTACGTTAATTTAAATTTATCAACATGATATCATTGGGTGATTTATACATTAGAATATTTTATTTGCATATATATTATATATACAAGAAAATAATAAAAGAATCTAATTTATTAAAAAATGCTAAACACTATTTTTAAAGCAATAGTTTTTTTTTATAAAATTAATAATGTTAATACTGTACAATCAATTCAGATAAATTAAAGTTTTAAAAGTAAATCCAATAATCACATTTCTACGTTATTTAAGTGATGGCCAAAATTACGTTTTGATATATTTTATTAAGTATCGGTTTCCAGTTCCTAGTCTATGCACTGATTGAGATTATGTCATAGTTTTTTGCTACCGCGTTCAAGTTCTTATTTGTTTTATGTATAAAAATAAATACAACTAAGCTATCATGTAAATGATCATAATGTATTCAACCAATCAGCATATGGAAGCCGACGGACAGACTTCACGTGATATAAATTATCACCAGCTGTCGTAAAAACATAATCCTCCGCTTCGCTCCGGACAATTATATATTTAATTCAGGCTTAGTGAGTTTATTATACAGAATATGAAAACTCAACTAAGTCAACGCTTTATACGGTATGTACGCATTATCATGTTAAAAGGTCACGAAAAGTTAAGAACATTGAATTGCTTTCTCTAATTATATTGTGAATTCTGATAGAAAGCATCAATTTAGTTTTGGCACTTGGACTATGTCCAATTTAGACTTGGACAAATATGGGCATGAACTAATCCAGATAGTGTATTTTGTAAGAATATTCAAGGAAAAAAACAATCGGTACAAGAAGATGAGAAGAATTATGATAATGAGGAATTCATACGGTGTTGGCTGGATTAATAGAAAAGTTAGAGTTTGATGGTATCCTGATGTAAGTAATACTGCGAACAAGCAGTGGATAAGGAACGTGAGGAAAACTGGAAAGAGTTGTTCAAATTAATGACATATGTATAATCGGTGAACTGAAATTGAAAAGACTCGAGCAGATACATACCTCTTCTAGAGGTGAACGATTTCGATGTAAACAAGTTAAAAGAAAATATTTTTTTCTTATACCGTAAAAAGTGCGAAATAACGCTCAGGGCGTTAATTTGAAATTTAGATACCCCTAAAATAGTATATAGCTTCGAATTAACGCACATCCTTATAAATAAGTATATATAAAAAAAATTAAAAATAAAATGTGTTCAGGAACTAGGTTTGGTATTAAGTAAACATATTTTTTGACTTTAATAAAGTTGTTCTTTGATTCTAATTATAGTTCGCCAGCAACGGCTTTGCAAACAAACGTCGAAGAGCCATTGCGGGTGAACTACTAGACCGTTTTAATGATTTTGTTACTGTTAAAATCGTCTAAATCTGAAGAGCAACTTTTGTTAATGCCAAAAAACATGTTTACTTAATGCCAATCCCAATTTCGGAACACTTTTTAATTCTTATTATAATAAATACTATTTATATAATTAGGGGTGCGAATTCAACCTTTATTTCGAAATAACGCGCAGGTCAATTAATTAACGCGTTATTTGCGCTTGTACGGTATAGATTTTTTAACGTGTGAATAATTTGTACATGTAATAATTAGTGTCTAAAATTTGAATTTACGCCTTCAATTCAATTCATAAATTGTTTAACATTTTAGCATTAATAAGAAACAAGTTGACATTAGTTATTATGAAAAATTATGTGCTTCTACGGCTAAACCCGTAATTAAATTTAATTAACCATGTCTGCTGTTGTATTCCTGCTTACGTACTGTAAAAATGACAAGACTATACTACTGTAAAAATCATTCTTGTCTGGATCTTAAGCCCACTATGGCGCACGAAAAGTCGGATATTGAATACATGAGGATAGACCGCGAAAACAGCAAATATAATATTGGTGATATTGAATGCTATTGTACCAGCTAGGACTAGGATATGTTATACAAACGAATAACAAGTTATTTTTATATCGATATATATTCATA